CCATAGTGGTGTTTCATGTTGGGTCATCACCCTCCGTTCTGCTTGGGTTGTCCCAGCAAATGTGTCCCCAGCAGGTGAGAGCTCAGGTTCTTACTTTCATGACCTTTCTGGCTTCCCTTGACACTTTGATGGAGACACCTGACTCCCATGATACTTCTTGTTGTTTAGGCAAAAGCGAAAAAGATAGCACTGAGCGATGACTGAGAACAGCTAACCCACTTGCGAGTGATAAAAGCATCTGCTGAAAATCTGGTAACCAGATCTCCTTGGTACCAGAAAAAAAACACACACACAAAAACCAAAACTGGTGGGTGGTGTACATGGTACAAAGAAAGGGAGTCCCTGAGTGTCAGCATCTGGCGAGGCCACGTGTAGCATAATCTGATTAGTTTTGGGTTCCACACCCACAAGCCGAAAGATAAAAAACGCACACCCCTCCTCCCGGAGGAGGTAAAAATCTCGAAGCATCAACACCACATTTACATTCTGCAAGTCAGCCTCTTCCTTTGGCCCGATTTACGTCTTGGCTTCCCCAGTGGAGCGGTGGAAGTTCAGTGATGAGAGACGAGCTCACGTCCCTTTCCAGTTACCACATCCAGCCGGCTCACGATTGCCTTGCTTTGATCTGGGAGACGTTCCTTCGTTTAGTTTAAGCTGAAGTGATCAAGCTGGAGATGAAGCCTCCTCATATTTTCTGCCGTGCCTGGGATGTGATAATTGAACATTAGACCCTATGGGTCACTTGAATGTGTTCTGAGGCCATCCTGGGCTGGCGACCTGAAGCAGTGGTGCCGGTACCATCTGGCTGAAGGCAATTTGTACTGACTTCACTGCACTCTGTTTTGTGGTTTGCTTCATGTAAAAAGGCCAAAATTGCTACTGGGGTGGATTAATGGCAATGCTTTCCTCTCCAGAAACTAACACACGAGTTGGTGTTTGGTTTGAGATTGCTGAATAGTGGTGAGGGACCTGAGCATTGCTCATCCTTTTGGAGCAAATAAGAGATTTCTAATATCAAACATGGTTTGTTCTATGACAACAGACAAATCAGAACAGCCTGTGTAGCTTTTGTCTATTAACTCTCCATTTTTCTCATCTCTTTCCCGTTTCCTTGCCTGTCACCTTATCCAATGGCCCCATCGTTACTCAATGACTCATGGGAGAGCCTCGGTCTTTCTCAGTGCACTTTGCATCCAAGACTGCTCATGTCTGTAACCATTTTTTCCCCTTCCAAGCCCCATCCATTCCACAAAATCATCTTTGTAGCAGAGCAAGCAGCACTAAATGCAGTATTGCAAGCACTGGGATAGCTGTAATAGTATTTTATTATATTCTTTATGTAGCTTTTATATTGCTTTTTAATATACTCACTGCTGCAGCAGATCACAGATTCTCCCTGAGCTATCCACACTTGCTACCCTAATCTTTTTTCCTGAAATAAAATTATGCCTCATGACTGAGACCAAGGAATACAGCTTTTCTTAGCACACTCCCCTGGGATCAGGAATTTCTCTGTCAACGGACACATATATCAATGAGAGATGAAAAGCAGCTTGTGGAATGAGTTTTAAACATGTATCACATATTTCATTGCTGCTGCATATGTGCTACTCAGAAGGCCTTTTCAGAGTGTTTTCAGCCTATACCTCACAGCTCCTCTCTACCTAATAGGATTTTTTTTTATTCTCTTTCTGCACACGAATCAGGGCAAGAGATTTATTTGATTTGCCTACACTTCTTTGCGAGCACCTCCTGAATATGAAGATTTTGTTGAGTTTACTGCTTACTTTCGGTGTGAGCGCATCTCAGCTTTTATCAAAGCACAGCAACATGTAGCGTGCGGGGCTGCAATGTAATCGCATCTCGCTGGAACATCTCACCGGGGGAGCGTGGCTCCTTCTGTGCATCTCTTTGTCACAACATGACTCCGTGTTACAACCCTAAATTTTAAATGTCCAGAAGGGGAAGGCAAGTCCACCCTCAGCCCCTTGCTGGTTTCTGGGGACTTGCAGTTCCATTGATGCCTGGGGCCTTCCAGATGTGTGTATAGCTCTCTTTTCCCTACTTTTTTCCCTACACTTTTTTTGGGGGGGGTGAGGGGAGATGGCAACACCCAAACCCACGCATCTCTAGATCACTTCAATTCAACCAGATGTGTGAATCATTCTTCTTATTTCCCTCCCCTTTTTTTACTCTTTTTTCGTATTTTTTCCCCTTGCCTACACTAAAGTGCAGTGCTACCCTCCTGAATTTTGTCTTCTGTGATAGACCTAGTTCATTATAATAATAATAAGTGTAATTAAATATAAAGTTTTTTCAGCAAAGCTATGCGTGGGCAAACAGAGTGTGATGAAAACAAAGCTGGGGGTTATTGAGCACAGGTTGGTGCAGGGGTGGTGACCTGTATAACAAGCTTTCACTGAGTTACCTGAAAACATTTAAAATAGCTTGCGCATCAGTTAGCGATTCTTTAGCAAAAAGGGCACTGTATGAACACAGCCCAGGATTTTTCTGGAAAAATCCAAAATAAAATTCACTTCCAGGATGGATTTGTTCCCAGATAAAGTCAGTCTTGGTGTGTGAGGCCAGAGATAGATAGGCTAACCATGTTTGCCTTATTTTTATCTCGCTTGAATTTGCCAAAATGTGGTAGGAATGAGTAAATGAGAAAAGGGGAGGGGAAGGAGATGCCTTTAAAAAACAAGAGTTGAAAATACAGCCGGCAAAGGGAAAAGCAAATACATAAAAATTGCGGAGGAGAAGGTGGAGAAGGAGAAACCCCAAGAAAACACTGACTCTGTGTGTATGTGTGTGAAAGTTGTTTCTTCAGTTTTAGCAGCACCCGGCTTGTACAAGCTGTAATTTAAATAGATTGAAAAGATAACGCTAAAGACTACCAGGTTAGATGTTATCTTGTTAATTAAGCTGCCATCACGGAGTTGTTAAGAAGCCCACCAAAAATCATTCCTGAGGAGAGGAGTAGCCACCCATGTCAGCTCCAACGTGGAACAGCACCTTCTGCTTAAGGAGAAAGCTCCCTCCGACCCCGTGCTTTTAGACTGAGTCATCCTGGGGGAGAAAAGAAATCGTACTTCAAAGCACAAAATAATGGGTCAACTAATTAATTTTTTTTAAGTTGCTAGAGAAGTTTCTCCAGAAGTAAATTCCATCCAGTTTCTTCTCATCTCCCAACCTGAATCCTTCGCTTCTCCATCTAGAAGCATGGTTTCTCAAGAGTCTAGTTTGGCTTGAGCTGTCTGCTGCTGACATCTCTTCACCTATATGTCAGCAGGCACGGTGGTATCGGTTAGGTGATGTGAACCCGTGTACTTTAAAGTGCACCTGTGTACTTTTAGGAGTGGTAGTCTGAGAGTCTGATCTGAAGATTCAGTGGCCTCATTTACGCTTTCAGAATAAATTAACGAGTGCCAAAATTCGTTCTCTAGCCCTAAAACCAACGGGACAATCTGAACCATGTCTGCAAAGCTGACCTCTCGTAGCCTCCAAACAGTTCACCTTGTTGAGGGGCAACACAGATTATCTCAAGTGCCTGGGGATCATCTGGAAGCGTTCAGGCCCAAACCCTACCAGGGACCCTTCTTATTGTTAAAAGTATAAAAATATTCCCCCCTGTTATTGCTTGTGTTCGTGCACTGGCACTTCTTATGGGGATGGAGGCAGACGTGGTTCTGGGTTGCAATCAGGAGATCTGGGCCCCCGTTTCAGCTCTGCCAAAGGCTTTTTGTGTGACCTTGGTTAGTAACTTGGGGTAAGATTCATTCCATTTAATGTTGACTAATGACGAGGGTGTGTAATTAAACTAGTCATGTGTGCTCCCTCTCTGATCTGAGAAGGAAGAGAAAGCAAATTCAGAAGGTGAATCATCCTGTTTTAAGACTGGTGTCAGAGACAAATGAGATGAATTGCCCTCTGGAAGTAGCTATTTCTTTCCATTAACTGTAGAGGAAGTCTACATTAGAAGAGTTTAGACTAGGTGCTTGATTTATGAATGACTAAAGTTAGGTAAAATTAGTCCTGAGCTTAATCTTTATGCATGCCTGTTTCTCCATATGTTGAATGATAGAAGTAACACCTTCTGTGCCTACTATCCGAAGGCACCATTGGGAGAGGAACATCCTGTACCTACTTTGGAAAACCTGGGAGCAAAAATACAACAATTAGGGAAGCCTTTACTCTTGAGACATCTCAGTGACATTATGAACAGTACAACTTGGGGCATCCTATTGCTTTTTCCATTTTTCCACTTTACATTTTGACAACCAAGAGCCCATAAATGGGTGTTCCCAATGTGGTACGAGGGCAGCAAGCCTGGTTTTGGGGAGAGAAGTAGGAGCACTGAGGAAAGCTGACCATGCAAGGGAGTGTAGGAACCAGTCTGGGCCAGCAGCACTGAAAGTTTTCCGTACAATCCTACTCTTCTCAAATGACAGCGACTATTTGCATTTTGGAAAATCTTCCGGAGGAATAAAAGCTGATGACAGAGTTAAAGAAGGAAAAAAAAAAAATCCTTGCATTTTCCTACCAAAAAAAATCACAACATATATAAACCAGGCATAAAATAATTGTCCCACTTGATAACTTGTACTTACATATGAGGCTTGCTTTTGGAAGAGAAAGTTTGCCTCTTTAACTACCTAGAGTAGTTAACTACCTAGGGTAGTTAAAGCAGAAAAAAAGAAAAAAAAAAGACAAAGAAGAACTTGTGTGGGTGTCCTTGTAAGTGCTTATTTTCATCCAAATTGCAGTGTTACACATCCATATGGGCACAGTTGTGCTCAGTAAGGATTTCACCAGCACAACCAACCAAAACACAAATTCCCGCACCGATGTCGCTGTGTTTTTTGGGGTAGCTGAGATACCTGTAAGTCTGTTAAATCTAATAACAGGTCCTTAGAGTCCATTTTGGGTTTTTTTGGGGTGTGTGTTAAATTACTAAGTCTTGTTATTAACGCTTTTATTTTATGATTTGCTGTTTCCAGGGCACAGACAGAAGCTTGATGACTCTAAACCTAGTTTGTTCTCTGAACGCCTCAGTGATTTAGGGCGCATTCCTCATCCCAGTATGAGAGTAGGGGTCCCGACCCAGAGCCCACGGCCCTCTCTGAACTCTGCACCAAGTCCTTTTAATCCACAAGGACAGAGTCAGATTACAGGTAAGAGACAGAACCATAGGTTTGGCTTGCACAGGCAACGGTAGTAATTGCTTATGGATATTTGTGTCTCAACTGCAGTATAAGAGGCTGTTACAGAGTGAGTGGTGTGTTCCAAGCCAAGCTAGGCGGGAAGTGGATTTTTCTATAGCGTTTGAAGCTGAAAATGTCTTTGTATTTTTATTTTTTTAAAAATATATTTTTGCCATAAATCCAAAATAATCCAGAATAGACAATGCGGGAGAAGTGAGTAGGAATCTGGTGAAATTCTAGCTGCCACATTGCTCTGCCTTCTCCTCTGGATGTGCAGTAGTACGTATTAGCGTATAACAGAATGACTGTTTTAATTCAGCCTTTTTATTTTGCACTCGTGTTGAGGGAAGCAGCCAGCGTTTAATGGTCTTTCTGTCGGAATAAGAATACAATCTTCTCACGTGGCGGTTTCCTTCCAGCACCAGCACTGACCACTGTTACAATAAACGAACTGGGTTATGGAGAAATCTCCAAAGGTTGCTCATGCGGGTTGTATGCAACATTTATGATTGCACGCTGAGAGACAGATTTCCTTGTGCTGAGAGGAATCATAAAGTACCATGTGTCACCGATTAGAAGGCTGGAGTAAGACGTTTAACTGCAGCTACGCCAGACGTTTGCAACAAAACTGTGAAGCCCACAAAATAAACCCATTTTGTCATTTTTCTAAGTTCAGAGCTGTTTGAATTTTTCAAGAGTTTCCAAACAACCTCTACCTAATTTTGGCCTTCTCTACACTCCAAATTTGTGCTGACATGTTTATGTCTATCCAGGGTGTGAAGAAGCGTTGTCCCTGACCAATTCATTGACTAGAACTGTTGGAGAGCTTCGCCTAGATGCAAGTCTGTCAGCAAAACTCTTGACTCCATTAGCTAGACTGATTTAAAACTCAGTTTTGCTGCTGTAGTTGCATCTACATCAGGAGTCCTTTGGCAATCTTATGTACCAGAATTCCTTTACTGGTAAAGGACTCCTAGTATAGACGTAGTCTTTGAGTCAACCTAGGAAGATTTCTGGTTTCATGTTTCAAGTGGTTTTGACATGATACCAGCTGAAACTTAGCGGTTTTAACAAAGTGTTGTGGCTTTCTTCTTCTTTCTTGTTCTTCTTTTTTTAAGTTCAACTGGTTTATTAATTTGCAGTAAGAAAGAGAAGTCGGTTAATTTGAACCCAAAGCACTCAGGTAATTGAAATGAAAAAATTATTCCCATGAGCTGTGGCAAAGTTCTCCCAGATCCAGAAGTCTAGCTTTAACTCGTGTGAAATGTTTATAATGTATTAAATATGTCGATAGTACCCATTGCACAGTACCTGCTGCCCACCAGCTTCCCAGAGCAAGTTTTTTGGCCAGGTTTAGTGTTTTGTTCCTTAGACATGTAAAGTCAGGGCTCTCATGTGTATAATTTTCCGAGTAAGAGTTGCTGGACCAAAGCCATATTTTTTCTAACCTACTGTCTTCTGTCTGGTGGTGTTCGGGGACATAGTTCCTGAGGAAACGGGGAAAATCCAGGGTTATAGTCAGCTTTTTTCCCTTCTTCCTTGTGCCTCCATAGTTTACCTATTGTGCAACATTATATCTAGGAACGAAGGAGGGTAAAATTCTTCCTGACCCCATCTGGTGATCAGCTTATGCCCTGAAGCAGGAGAACTGAGATCCCCTTGTAATTTTCTTCCAAGCTAAGTGTAACCTCATATGCTGCTCTCATTCACATAAATGCCTCCTGTAGAAAATGTTCTCCTGGGTTTGATTAATAGAGCACTTCTCTGCCTTGTTATGAATCAGCAGCATTTACAGATCCGGGATGTGAAAACTTCAGATGAGCTTTATATAAGCCTGACTGGAAACAAAGCTGTGTGACATTCGCTGTCTTCTCTGCAAATTTGTGTCAGTGGTTCCAAGTACCAGCTGAGACTTCGTCGAAAGAGGGAAGATGAGGTGCTGGTAGGGCAGAGGGTAGTGAGCTGAGCCGAGGAGGGCAGGCTGACATTCCCATCTATTGTGGATTATTGTGCTTTACTTTGGAATCCCAAATTGCTCTCACCTCCCTCAAAATAGTGAAGACTCAGCTGCTTATTAAAGTTTGCAGTGAATAAGTGGTCTGATGCAGTATTTGCCGTATTTACCACCCTTGTCTCATCCTCAATGTAGAAAAGTCTAACCCAGCCCTCAAAGGCTTACTTGTTAACTTTCTGGTTGCCCTCGCGTTTAAGGAGGCGATTAGTGAGCACGTTACATCGGTGCGAGCCTTGTGAATAGCCTTGGCTTCCCCACAAGACTTTTTGGGGCTCTGCAGGATGTTGATTGTAATCTGCAAAGCTCCACCTGCTTTGATGTTCCACCAAAGTGCTGGGATGCTTTTTTGCGGATGGTCCCTCTGAGGTCTTCTGGGATGAACGGATGCTCGTTGCCACCCAGATCGTGCCAACGAGACACAGGTGATGCTGCAGATGAGGCACCTCTTTGATCCTCTGTTAGGTGGCCATGGGAAATTGCTAAATGCCTGCCTGTTTGGTGTGGTAGTAGGGAGTGTGAGCTGTTTGGGCCATCCACCTTCACCAGTTTCCTTGTTGTGGTGAGAGATATTCAGTGGGATTTATCCACTGACTTCTTAGCGTGGTCACTGGGCTGCTGTGGCTCGAGTATGTATTACAAGGAGAGTAGTCCCTTGGTCTGAAAACCAAGGAATTTTTCATTACCTTTATTGGAATTTGCCAGGCATTCCTTTAGAAATAACCTTTATTTCTTAATCTTTTTACCTAGTAATTTAGGGAAAATAATTAATTCCTAGTAAGTTTAACAGTAAGTACTGGTTTCCTATGACAAAATCCACATTATTGCTAGTAAGCACATAAATTGTTTTTATTTCGTTCCACATGAGGTCTTACATAGCTATTGCATGATTAAACAGAAATAATATTTAAAGCCTGGCTGCCTCCCCCCCTGAGCCTGAAAGAACTCAGCACTTCGGGGTTTGCTGTTATATTTCTTTTCTCTGTCTAGGTTGTGTTTATTTTCCTAGAGTATCAGAGTACAGGTTTTACAAATCACTGCAAAGTCCTAAACCTACCACAGGACCGGGCTGACTCTGTACAAGGCACAGAGTTGCCCTTATTCAACATGGCATTTTAACTAGGATTCTGCAAAAGCAACATCGAAGGGTCATTAAAAAACAAATCGTCCAATAAGCAGATGCCTTTGCTGAGGCAATGCAGATTCAATTTGAACCCTGCTTGCTGCCCGTAAATCAGGAATCCTGTCTGTTCACATTTGGATACTGGTATATTTGCTTTTTTCTTTTTTTCCCCTAACGGCACTCGCACAACTCGCTCACGTATCCAATTACATTCCCGTTCAGACACTGAGCTGCTGCATCACTGTTTGCGTAGGAAAGGAGGAAAAGTGTTGTTTTTCTAAAACACAACCAGCAAGGATTAGTTTCTATCGGCCAGGAAAACCCACGGGTGTAATGGCAGGGAGGTGGTTGGCGCAGGGACCTCGGTGGCCGGGCCGTGGGGACTGTGAAGTGGGAGTTAAGTGAGGTTTCATGCTCCATCACCGCTGTGGCACCGTCTGATCTATAGGCAACCTGTGACTTTCATCACTGAAATAACAGCACTCAAAAGCAGGTCCTGTGAAATCTTTTTTTTTCTTTCTTTTTCTTTTCCTCTTCTCTCCCGTCCCCCTCCACCCATGCACTTCTGCAACATTATTCTTCAGTTTCTTATGATTTTTAGGGTCGTAGGAAGCAGATTTAAAGGCTTCAAATCTGACTTGCCTGGAAGTTAAAGAGGGGGCCTACCTCCATGAGCTGGCAGGGACTGGATTCAGGGACAGTGTAAACTGGGTCTGCTGGCAAAACCACAGGTGGAAAGCATCTTTGACTCTCAGATGGAGGATGAGGCTGAGCTCGCTGGCATCGGGCTGGACACTGCCCTTTTGCAAAGCCGGGGAGAAAGCAGAAAGCCACACTCATCACGGTGTTGGATATGAACTGTGAAGCATCTGCCTCAGAGACCAGTGTCTCTTCTCTGATCCCATCAGCTGCAGGACAGGTTTGAAACAGAAACTCTGCAGCTGTGATTAGACCAACGCTATGCAAGTGCCCTGCCAGGGGTTGGCTGCGTTTTACCTGGGATCAGCAGCGCTCTGAAGCACACACCAATTTGGAGCTGGTGCACGGCAATCCAAGAGCGCATCAGACAAAGCACATGGTTACATAGAACAGATAATTTAGAAATAACCCGAATAATAGGCTGATAGGGTGAATTGTGCCTTCATCTCACTGAAGCGTGGAGTAACAGCTATGAGACTCAGCAGACGAGGTGGTGGAATCGGGATTTCTGCTGCCATGAACACGAGGGTGGCTGCAGTCTGCTGTATTTTATGCAGATTGATTCCATCCTTCAGGCGACTGGCGAGTTGCCATTGTGAACCTCCATTTGGTAAAGCTTCTGTCCCTGTATTAAAGTATTCTTTTAACTTTATTTCCATCCCCCCTCCGCCCCCGTTACAATTTTGTTACCCTACTGGCATGACTTGTTCAGTTTATGTTTTTTTTCTTTTAGAAATGTGACTCTTGGGGGAGTGGGAGGAGAAATGGTTTTTGAGGTTCTTCAGGCCAAAATCTGGTCTCAATTACTCTTCTGTACATTGGGGTGTAACTCCATTGGATTTGACTTCATTGATTGAACTGGGCAATCCAGATCAAGCCCTGGGCTTTTAAAAATGCCTAAGAAGTAGTCAAAGAAGACAAGGAGGTTTCATTTTTGTTGTCGTTGTTTTGCTTGGGGGGAGTGGTGTTACAACAATAGTTGGGTTACTCATGCAGAAAGTCATCTTGGCTTCGTTAAGATCAGAAGTGAGGATATTTGCTCTAAGTGTTTACCAAAGATAACTCCAGACAGCTTGTTTTTTAGTATTGGCAGTAGCACTAATACAGTCAGCAGCAGCCACTGCTAGAGCTGATGGCTGGATTTTAAGCAGAGTGGTTTTGCAAAGTGCATGCATGCGTGTGACGTTGGAGCTGCAAGGCCGTGATCGTGTTTTGATCATGTAACTCAGCTTGGGAAATGGGAAATCGATTTTGTTTTACCTATAGTAAATCTGCGTGCTTAATTATCCAAGGTCAAAGCAGTGGAAAAACTCATTCTTCAGGGCTATTTGTGGGTTTTTTCTTCTCTCCGTTGACACTTCAAAGCATTTCCATTGAAGGAAGAGAAGTCACGTTGCTGGAGAGCCAGTGCCATCAGCAGGAGACCTGATCACTGGGGTTTTTTTATTCTTTCTTTTTTTTTTTGACTTTATGCAGTGCGTCCAATCTTAGACTGATTTTTAAAACCACTTATTATCCTTTAAGCACCCATGTCCCTTGTCCATTGACGCAGTGAATCACAGACCACCTGAATCAAGAGCCATGCATATGTCCCACTGATTATAAATATGACAGTAAAACCTAGATGCAAAATAATTCGCAATACTCAGTATTTCCTTCTTCAGCAAGGCTTGCCTGGAAGTGCAAACAGGACGAGACTGTTTTTGCACTAGTTTAGACCTCACCCAGCTGATTTGTTTCAGCCTAACCGTGCCCTGGCTTTCTTAGCATACGCGCGATGTGCCCTATTGTGAACGAATATGCTGAAAGCCGCACTTTTCTTCACACCCACACAGGCATAACAGAACTGTTTACAAAAGGAGGACTGCTCTTAGCAATTACTCCAAAATTATCAAGTGCAAATGCCAACTAAAAGTGGCACTCTGCCTCCTTTGCTGTAGTTGAATGCTCTGCTAGTCCTTCCCCATGGGTGCCATACCGGAAGATGAGGGTCCTTCTCCTGAGGTGTTTGTGGTGTTTTTGTATTAGCATTTTCCCTTGTTTTGGAGGGGAGGAATACACATTTATTCTGCCTCAGAGGTCTAGAGTTTGTCATCTGTTCCAGGCTTTTTGTGATTGGTAAGATGCGCTGTGCCTGCAGAGCACATGGTGCTTCGGGTGACGGCGCAAAGCCTCTGCCCCTCTGGGACCCAGCAGACACATGGGAACCCGCCAGCCAGAGCGAACGGGGGAGCTCATCTTTTGGTGTAGGAGGGCGAATAAAACCTCACAAATCCACACATAGCTTCTTCACCACTGGTACGTAGTTGCTCCACCCCTTCCATGGTGATCCAGGAGGAGGACGTGATCTTCCTGAGGACATTGTTGCGTTTCCCTCAGAAGCATCTGTGTGGATCTGCCATGGAAGTGCTGTTTTGGCAGCTGGTACCTCCCCCTGGTGCCCCCCAGCACCCTCCTTCCCCCCAGGAGGTTTGGCTTGGTGGCCTGTAGGACCAGAATAGATGGGCTGGTTGTGTCTCAGCATCCAGTCAGTGCTCCAGCAGCTTTACAAGGAAAACCTTCTGGTGGGACCAAAGAGCGCCATGTGAGACCCAGCTGCATGTGTGCCTTCAGGGACTAGATGGGGCAGCTTTGGACATTTTACTTGGGGGATGGGACAGCACAACCGAGCAGCGACGTTTGCCCTGTGGGTAGCAGGTCACCTTTGACTTGGCAAGGCAAGGGCATTTCGCTGCTCTCTCTCTTCTCATGTCCATGCAAACCTTGTCCACTATCAGTCAGCACAGGTTGGTTTTAGAGCATTTACTCCAGGATGTGGTGAAACTTGTCTCTTCATTTTGCGGTTTCCTAACGGGCCAAAGGTAGCTCTTGAAGCCAGTCAACCCCAGGGCAAAATTCCCCACCCTGCCTTGACCATGACCTCAGCCTTGCCTTGGCGTGGAGGAATTGCAGTAACGCTCCAGCCTGGGGTATTGTGACCTTCTCCTCAGTCACTGAGCTCTGATGCATCACCCGATGTTCGATTTGGTTGAGGATTTTCCTTTTTATTATTTCCTGTTCATATAAGGACGTGACCTCATTTCCCTGAAGCTAAGTTGCTTGTGCTCTAGTTTCAGAGGGGCTGAAGTCTGCACCTGAATATCTGGGTTGAAAGCTTCTAGCCAAGATAAGCACCTCCTTTTGTGAGTGAGGTATTCAGAGAGTGCCTGCAGCTTAAAGAAATGACCAACTAAATATGCAATATATCATTACTGTCCTTAAATTTAGGTAGAAATTGCATCAAACAGAGGGTTGGTAAGTTACCCAAGTCCTATAGGAGATCTACTTTCAGGGCCAGAGGCAGTTAAGTCACAGCACAGTGTCTTCACTAATAGTCCATCCTTTTTTTTCCCTTTCTTTAAAATACTTCGCAGTTCAAAATCTCACAGAAGTTGACTCTTGGAGAGCTGAAATCTTATATATCTCTCTACAACCTAAATGTGCTATTGCAGATCTGAGATTGGAACGAGCTACAGAAGTTGTGTATAAATTAAAGCTAGATATCATAAAGAATGTGATACATTTTTGTGTGAACTGATGGTCCATCTAGCCCCATATTCTGCCTCTGACAGTGCAGCATGAAATACTGTTTTGAAAGACCACATGAGCCTTTGAAAGACCACTTCATGCCATCCGCCCTTGTTGTGTCCACATGGGCAATCACAGTTGTTGCATTAAGGATGTTGGGTGTAAAACCAAGTTTAGAGACGCTCAAGATCTTCTCATGCCGTGAGGATTGCACTACCAGAAGTGACATGAACTTCCAGAAGGCAGCAATTTTCCTGAAGTTTTTAACATCCTGCAAAAACATCCTCTGCCATATTTTTTCTTTTTTTTTTTTTTTTCACTCCTTAACTGCCAGCATTGCAGCTGACCTAAACCCAGAATTTTAAGGGACTCTGTTTTGGATTCAGAAGCGGAGATTGAAAAGTTCTTGAGTTTGAAGGAGCTTGGATTTGAGATTGTGCTCCTGACACATCATTAATTTTAAGATTGTTTTCCCAGCAAGTCTAGGCTTTCCGTTCCCAGTTGAAGATCATTTGCCATTGACTGCATGGTGAATTTTAGGAGTGGAATGAGGCAGAGAAATATGTCAATATCAGATATAACAACAGGCTGTCAGTCAGATTTGAACCTGTGCCAATCTATACAACCCTAGCCTTGAAATTGTTAAAACAAAGTTCATTACATTTAATGATCAAGTGCCCTTTGGATTTCTGAGGAGTTTACATTAACCATTTGTATTACTCAGCTCTAATATAAATGGCAAACTCCAGGAAAATCCTCCTAAAATTAAATTGCAAAGTTGGGAGGTTTTTATATATCTGTATAGTTATTTTGCTTCAAGGAAGTATCTGCTTTCCAGACATCTCTTCAAACAAATCACGTTTGAACACAAGAAATAAACAAGGAATAGCTGAAACTGCAAGGTTTTGTTCTGTGTAGGAGCAGGGAAAGGAGTTTAAAAAAAAAGGAAAACAGTTGAATTTCCTGAAAAAGTGCCTTTATTTATGCCATGTGGCTATCACATTGCTGCCTACGCAGTAAGACCTTAGTGCAGTGCTCTGATATAGCAGGTTCTCCAAATCGTGTGGACCTGATGTGCTTCAGTGAAAATATTGGGGAGGATTTGGAGGGATGTGCTACGATTTCTATGTGTTCAGAGGTAGTTTTCTGTTTATTGTGCAGTGCCCCAAACGAACTTTGGGATTGAAAGTGCTTTGGTTTTCTCCATGTAAAGAGATAAAAGTAAAAAGTCTATGAGGCATTCAGTGATACCTTTTTCACCAGATGTTAACTGACACCAAATGGTTTATAAATCCAAACACCAGTGAGTAAAACTAGATTTCCTTCTCTCACTGAGTGCAGTCCACCAGTGCTTCAGCAAAAAATAACCTATATTTATCCTTAAAATCATTTCCTTTGTAGCGATCTGTAGCAAGTACATCAAAAGGCATCATTAGCTTCCAGTAGTTATCCCAAACCATTCGGTTTCATATTGTCGTAATTGAGGTGACTGTAGGTAGTTGGGCAGCATCCAAATGTGACATTTCTGGATGGATGCTGGTAAGATTAATGACATTTTCCTTCTTGGACATTATTTTCAGCACTGAAAACACTACTGGGTGGTGTTTGAACTGGATAACAGCTTGACAGACGTGCCAAGTTCTGACTCTGGAGCCTCCCCACCTCTGAAGTTCACTCTCTAAGCTCAGACTGGTCTCATACTTGCTGTCTGCTTATCTGTCTGAGTCCTTGAGGACTAGCAAATCATGATATAACACAGCGTTAGACCTGGACAAGAGACACCAGGAATTTGCAGCACAGTTGCTGGATCTTTTAAAACTCTGCTCACTGCTCCGTGATGGGGAGGGAAAAACAGAGAGCGAGGCTTGGAGGGGTTGAGTCCTAAAGGAGCGGGTTGTGTTTATTACGTTCTCCTTCTTTATAGCACTGTTGTGTGTATAATTCCACCTCTTTCAGTTAGGTTGTTACTGCCTTAAAATTTTTCATACTTTAAAAAAAAAATCTTTTTTTTTTTTTTGTAATTATCTAGACCCCAGGCAGGCGCAGTCATCCCCACCGTGGTCCTATGACCAGTCTTACCCGTCCTACCTGAGCCAGATGACTTCACCGTCCATTCACTCCACAACTCCCCTGTCCTCCACTCGAGGCACAGGACTTCCAGCCATCACCGATGTGCCCAGACGGCTCTCAGGTAAAGACCGTGTTTTGCCTAAGACGATGATGCAGATAGGAGTGGGACTGGCAGAAGCTGCCTCCGCGGCCTCAGACAAACCTTAACCAGAAGAGCAGAGCTCAGCTGGCGATGACAGGGTTACTGCACGGGTGGTGGGGGTCAAAGTCCCTTTTATTTTCAAAGTGGAAGGGTGCTGTGTTGCTCTGAGCATGTATGATTTGAATGTCTCTAGGTCCATTTCAGATCAGACTATTTTTAAATTGCGAACCTGATTCAATGAACAAATTCCCTCTTTGTTTTTTTTTTCCCACCTCAAGAGGATGTTTACTTGCATGTTTTAAAGTAATTGTGATGCTCTCTATTTTTTGGTGCTTTGCTTTTGTGATGTGTGTGATGTCAGGCATCCTGACGGATAGATGCTTTTATTTCTTTAATAGTTAAGGCTAAGGTTAATTCTGCATTTCAATCTAGTAGCTCAAGAAAGCGTGTTTCCTTAGTTAATGTGTACTTAAGATGCCTATCAGAAACTAGCTGAGTCACTTTATGGTAAGGGTTGGACAAATTGTGCTTTGGAATGATGCAAGGAGAGAGGAAATACATTTAGGAACATAGACAAGACAGCAGTAAGGAACTGAGACTTTTTTTCAAAATCAAACAAATGTTCATTTACATACCATGCAGTTCATCTCCAATGGTCTCAGTGATAAAACCATCTGTATGAAGTAATCTGATTGCCCCAAAGTCAGAGAGAGCCTGTCATGGCACACAGTCACCTTGTATATCTTGCCAAAAATGAGGAACCTCAGGGGAGGGAGGCTCAGTACTAAAATTCCAACCTTGCAAGTGTGGAAATATTAGCAGCGTATGCCAAAAAAGCATGTGTAATGTAAAGAAAGCCTTTATGATTCATTAATGAAAACCAAAGAATCAGTCTTATTACACCTATTTTTTGCATGTTTGCAAGATATTATTATAATCTTGGATGCTGCTGCCATACACCTGTTTGACTCGCAGCCAGGTGAATTTCTTGCTGTTGTGTTTTCCCTTTCCACCGAGCTTGTAGCGCTGGAAATGTTGATCACTCCACTGAGCTGCATCACTGACAAGCTGAATTTCAGCCAGCAAGCGTGTAGGACTTGATTAGCGTAGACTCCTTGATTTCTTTCATCTTGGAGGAGGGAAGCTTTGTTTCTCAAACAAACAGCTGCAGAAACCTCTGTGGTCCTAGCGCGCTCTGCCTTCCCAGAGATGCCAAATATCTCCATGTGGGCCGAGAGTTGGAGGGTGGTGGAGCAGGTTCCTGCGGGCTCTCCGTGCAACGCGCTGACTCGGTTCAAAGCACCCCACCAGCTTGATGCTGAGGAAATGCTTTGTTTGGCCTGAAACAGGTTCCCTTTGAGTCAGAGCCTCCTGATGGTCTGTGTTGGGTTATTTTTGCAATTGTGCCCCCAGCAATACCTCCAGGATTGGCTCGGCTGGGACCTCAGCAGCTGTACCACCGCATACTTGCCCTGGAGCCTTTACTTGTCCGTGTGTATTCAGACGTGAGCGCCTGGCATGTGGGCACAGGCAGAATGACTAAAAAACCTGGCTGTGTACCTCACGTGGCCGCAGACTGAACTTTTCTGCTGTGCTCCACAGTCCGTTGCCTTCGCGCTTCTCGCCCTTCATCTTTTGGGGGCTCGACCGACTCCTCCGCAATGCTCTTACCTTTTCCCAGCATGGAGAATCTTGCTTCCAGTTAGACTCAAGATTGAAAAAGGAGACTTTGATCTCCCACAAGTGCCAGAGGTTGTCTGCGCTGTTTGCTGACGCTCAGAAATTCAGAGCGGCGTCCCTGGGAGGAGGATGCTCAGGCTGCAGGGAGACACGTTGCAGCCCCAGCTGCAAACCCTGCGGTTCCTCTTAAGGGTTTCTGGCTGGCAATGCCACAGGGAGGGATGGCAGGATCCAACCCTTTTGTGGATAAAGTAGAGAGAGAAATGCAAGTTTGAAGTCCCCATGTGTTGCCTGATTTAGTTGAGAGGCGTCCCTGCCCATGACAGGAAGGTTGGATTAAATGATCTCTAAGGTCCCTTCCAGCCTAGGCCAGTCTATGATTCTATGACTCTAAAACTGCCCCTTACAGCAACCAGTTTATCCCTCACACATGAAGAAACACAAATCTCCGCTCAGATAGTTGATGCATCTTTCAGAGGAGAGCAGAGCTTTGATGGAGGGGAACAAAATGACTGCTAAGAAACACTAAATATGCTAGAAAGCTTCAGGCACCTCCAGTGCATGAGGGAGAAATTAGAGTTTTACAAGGCCTTAAATAAAACCAAACTTTACTCTCCGATACAGTGGCAGAAATCTGATTATCAAGGTTGTTAAAAGTATACAAGGTAATATTAACGAATGCCATATTTACTGCCTGTTGCTTAACATCATGCAGGAGGAAAAATTTGTAAAACTTGCCCCTTAGGCTTTGGATGTCACACCTCCGGGCACAGGGCTTCCTACCTGCCACGATTTCACATCACCCAGACTTTTCCACAGGCCTCCATGGCTGTGCCTGGACAACTGCTGAAGTTGTGCTCGCCTAGATGTTGAGAATATACCATCTAATAAAGCCATGTGTCCTTCAAAAGGGTGGTTGCTGGTAGTATTGTCAGTGGCAGCCCTCAACAGCTATTTTTAATGGTACTCCTGTGTCCAGAAACACACCCATCCCGTGGCCAAAATGATGTGTTCCTCCCCAGTGGGTACTTCTGTTGGTGATGAGGACGCCCATGTTTCAATCCTGGGTTAAGGTGACCAGCAGAAGAGGTTTGGGGCTATAGGACAGGAGGTGATGGAGGACTGCCATAGCAGTTCATAGAATCATAGAATGTTCAGGCTTGGAAGGGACCTCCAGAGACCATCCAGTCCAACCCCCCTGCCAGAGCAAGATCCCCCAGGGCAGCCACACAGGAACGTGTCCACGCGGGTTTGAAAGTCTCCAGAGCAGGAGACTCGACACCGTCCCTGGGCAGCCTGTGCCAGGGCTCCGGCACCCTCACAGTGAAGAAGTTTTTCCTCACATTGAGGTGGAACTTCCTATGTTCTAACTTAAACCCATTATTTCTTGTCCTATTACTGGTCACCACAGAGAAGAGGTTGTCCCCTTCCCCTTAACCCCCACCCCTCAGATATTTCTATACGTCAATAAAGTCCCCTCTCAGCTGTCTCCTGTCAAGGCTGAACAGCCCCAGGTCTCTCAGTCTCTCTTCCCAGCAGAGATGTTCGAGTGCCTTGATCACCCTTGTAGCTCTCCCTTGGACTCTCTGTGCTAGATCCCTCTCTTTCTTGAGCTGGGGAGCCCAAAACTCCCCAGTTCATATGATTCTCTGTCATATGGGAGAGGGGAAAAGGGCAACAGGCTGCAACCCCGAGGAGTTACTCCGGCAGGCTGGTGTAATGCAGCTGAACTGGTCCTGTCAGTGTCTAGACTGATTTCTTTGCACAACTGAAAGGTTTGCATGCATGCTGCAGGCACGTGCAAATGAGGGCCCATGGCTTTCAAGCTTCAAGTATTCGTCTTTTATTCTCCCAGTGGGGATCAGTGCTGTATTTGCAGTGTCGTACAACTAATAATGATGTCACACAGTATTCAGTGGCAAGAGCTGAAAAGGAAAGCGAGAAAAAAAGAGATTACCTGGCATCACTCATGCAACTTTTGAACCAATGATCTCCTTGGTACATAAGTCTCGTTCATATCAAGAAAAAATAAAAAATAAGCTCAGGAGGCGATGCAACTGACTTAGCTTTTTGCACCAACTCAGTCATAGAAAGAGCAGGATTCCCCTTATTTTATTAAAATACCTGTCTGGCGAGACTTCCTCAGAAGACGGTGAAAGTTGGTGGCCTAGCAGATTAATATTCTTAATTAAATAATATCGTAGTGGAAACCATGGGAATATATGAACATGGTCATTTTGGAGAGAGTTTTCCCTGAGGGTGTAGTCTTATTGCATGATTCATACTGAATGCACTCACTCTTGGTGTCCTATGCATATCCAAAGTGCATGTGGGATGGGGAGCATGAGTGTCTATTATGTAATTATTGTATATGATTCATATAAATACACATCACGGCCATTTTACATAAAGCTTTGGGGCTGATCCAGCCAGTCCTCCGCGCATGCAAGGTTCAGAGCAGGGAGTACAGGTCGGGTTGTTCCTGCAGTCACAAGAGGGCTGCCCTTCAGCAGGGGAAGGAGGTAGGGCTGTAGATGTCATCCTCAGCTCCCTTTTGAGTCAGTGGGGACAAACTGGCATTTGCAGGACTCGACCAGTCTGCAGATGAGCTGTACTGGTCCTTGGCAGAGCCTTGGAAGAGGCTGTTTGTCTCTACGGGCTTTAAAGCAAGCCTGGGTGAGTAGTTCAGGTACAGGCATGTCTGATCTGATAGTCTGCCTTTAGTGAGGTGATTTAAGAGAAAATTTAGCTGTCCCATAAACATACCCATATCACAGCCCTCTTACGGTTCAGTCCTGGTTTAACCCTGCCGTGGTCTGCCTCGCCCTGACCTCTGCCTGCTCTGTAATTGCCAGATTTCAGCTTGAATTTAATTTTGTTGAGAATGCTGGGAAGGGAGGTGGGGACACATCTTCTTCCCTTGCACTTTTCCTGGACCTCCTCACTCTGCTGCTTGAACATGTTAGTCTCTTGGTTTTTGCTTCACCTTGGAGAGAGGCTTGTGGGGTCAGTGTCTTGGGCTGCTGGAGGTCCTGCCCTGCAAGTGTAACAAGAACATGTTCAGTGCTGGTTGAGGAAAAGGCTGCCCTATGCAACTGTGTTTGACAAATGCCCATGTGACAAAAGAGAAAATAAAAACTGAATCTAAACAGCAGGACAAATCACCAAACGTACGTTTTCCAGCCCCGGACTCACACCCTTTGCAGATAGTTGTCAGTTGGGGATGCTGGCCTCATGCCACCATGGCCAGACTCTCCCATCGCACACACTGGAGTCCCTGCAGTGTGCAGGGTGGATTT